AATATATAGTGTATTATATGTTAGACTAGAGGTTTGGTGCATGAAATTTGTGCATGGGTGGTGGTGGTGCTGGTGGTGGTGGTGGTCCTCAGCCCAGCCTGCACCCTCTCCAATCTGGAACCCAGATTCAGGGATGTCTGACTGCCCTCTCACAATCCAGGTCTTCTGGCTCCCAACTACTCGCCTGCTTGCCTTCCTGATTGCCCCTAACCTCTTCTGCCTGATAGCCTGATCACCCCTTACCACTCCCCTCCCAGCCAGATCGACACCTAACTGCTTCTCTGCTGGCCTTGTCACCCTTAACTGCCCTCCCCTGCAGGCTTGGTTCCCCCTATCATCCCTGTAGACCTAGTCTCTCCCAAATGCCCTCCCCTGCTGGCCCAGTCACTTTTAACTTCTCTCCCTTTCCAGCCTGGTCACCTCAACTGCACTCCCCTTCAGGCCTTGTCCCTCCCAACTGCTCTCCTCTGCAGGCCTGATCTCCCCTTCCCCAACTATCTTCCCCTGTAGGCCAGGGCTTCTGCTTGGGTTACTGATGGGTGTGGCCATCCTGTAAACCACCACAGGCCCCTCACCCAGGCCGCCCCACACCCCAAGGGAACCCCCACCCTGATCAGGGACATCCTTCTGGGCAAACCAGCTGGCCCCCACCCATCCACCAGGTCTCTATCCTATCTAATAAAAGAATAATATTCAGATTGACCATCACTCCAACACACAAGATGGCTGCCACAATGTAGTCAAAGATCCTGCCCCAATGTGGACACAAGATAGTTGCCATGAGATGGCCAGCAGGGGAGGGCATTTGGGAGGGACCAGACCTGCAAGGGAGGGTAGTTGGGAGTGATCAAGCCTGCAGGGGAGGGCAGTTAGGGTGACCAGGCTGACAGAGGAGGGAAGTTGGGGGTGACTGGGCCTGCAGGGTAGGGTAGTTGGGGGTGACTAGACCTGCAGGAGATGGCAGTTAGGGACAAATAGGTTGGCAGGGGAGCAGTTAGGCATCAATCAGGCTGGCAGGGGAGTGGTTAGGGGATGATCAGGATGGCAGGCAGAAGAGGTTAGGGGCAATCAGGAAGGCAGACAGGTGAGTAATTGGGAGCCAGAAGTCCTGGATTGAGAGAAATGTCTGACTGCCTGTTTAGGCCCTGATGGAATCGGGCCTAAACAGGCAGTCAGACATCCCTTGAGGGGGTCCAAGATTGGAGAGGATGTAGGCTGGGCTGAGGGACACCTCCGCTCCATGCACAAATTTCATGCACCAGACCTCTAGTCTACTAATAAAAGGGTAATATGCTAATTAGACCGGGTTGACAGGCCATCTTCTGGACATCTGACTTCTTTCCGGACAAAGCCATGGTGGTGGGGGCCGAGGAAGAGGCAGTTAAGGGTGATCAGGAGGCAGGCAGAGGCAATTAGGGGCAATCAGGCAGGCAGTCAGGCAGGTGAGCGGTTAGGAGCCAGCAGTCCCACAGGGATTGGGCCTAAGCTGGCAGTTGGACATCCTCCAAGGGGTTCCTGACTAGTTCCCACAGGCTGGCTTGTGGGAACTCCCTGCCCCCATGCACAAATTTCATGCACGAATACTACTATAAACATCCATTTATCCACCACCCAGCATAAGAAACTTAACATTTCAAATACAGTTGAAGCGCATAGTGGAGTACTCCACAATTAAATTCCCCTTCCCTTTCTTTTCCCAAACTGTAACACTATCCTAAATGTGTTTATCTATCTAAGCATGAATTTCTGTATGCTACATTGGTACACAGCTCCCATAAGCATGCTTTTTACTCCAGATACTTATATCCGCAATCAATATATGGTGATCAGTTTGCACGTTTTTAGACTTTATGTATGTGGTATTATGTTTGTATCCTTCTTGAACCAGCTTTCCCCCCTTATGCATTTTTCTGCTGCCATCACCTGCTCTTAGCCCCCCTATCTCTCAATTCCTGTAAGTTCTACTCTCCCCAATCCAGCTCTTATCATCCTGTTCAGTTTACCTGCAACAGTTCCAAGTCAGTGAGTTAAGGCTGGTCCTACCTTGGGTGAGTCTCAGCCTCTTCCCCTGTGGCTTTACTAGTGCTTCTCAAACCTTTAAACTAGTCCTTCTCAAGCATGCACTTCATCAGAATCCCCTGCAGAGCTTGCTAAACACAGGCTGCTGGGCTACCCTGAGAGTTTCTGATTGAGTAGGTCTTGGGTGGAGCCTAAGAATTCCTGGCTGATGCTCATGGTGCTGTTTTGGGGACCAAACAATGAGAACCACTGCTCCAGATCAATGTCTGGGCCCAGGCTCAGCAGTGGCCTCTGGTCTCCTGGCATGCTGGGCCATCTATGAGGTTTCCTTCAAAACTGTTCTAGAGCCCCTCTGGCTAGCGGACATATAATGCAAGTCATGCGTAATTTTAAGTTTTCTAGTAGCTGCATCAAAAGAAAAACAGGCAAATTCACTTTAATAGTATATTTTAACTCAATATATTATCATTTAAAGAGGTAATCAGTATGCAGTTTATTAGTGAGAATGGTAACACCTTTTACAGTTAAGCACATTTCAAATTAGACAGAGCAGCTCTAAAGGCTTGACATCATCTTTTTAAAAAAAAAATTCTACTTGACATTTTAATTTATTTTGGGCTGCCATAAAATAATTTAAAATAGGCTTACAAAATGTGGAAAGTGATATCTTTTGAAACAAAGAGGTAAGAGACATATGAGTTGGGATTATTTATCTAAATAAACTCTGCCTACATTTCAGTTTATTAATTGAAACAAACTTATTTTTAACTAAAACAAATGCTGCCAAATTTAGCTATAAGAAATATAAGTTAGATGTCATTGAATAGCACTGTTTGGGTGATGAACTTTGGAATATCACTGTTTCATGCAATTAACATGGATTTATGAATATAAAAAACTTAAAAAGAGGGAACAATAAATTCTTTCTTCTTTCTCTATCTTCTTTCTAGTTCTCCAAACTGCAGGATGAAATGAGAGAAAATTAACACTTAAAAGGCATTAACCAACTCCACTGACTTTCTAAATCTAAGAAAATAGCCCTATGTGTATCTGCTGCATTTGTGCACTATATCTCAATAAGGAGAGAACAACACGCTTCCCTCTTGCAACCTGCTTTGCAGATCATTTGGTTCTGTCCAAGAGATCTATTGAGAAATTTTGTCCACACTAAAATGCTTTGATAGTTGGTTCTGTCCAGAATGCCCATGCTTAGAAAACATCCTGGATTCAAAAAGCCCATAATGTTTATATACACTTCTGATTTATAGTATTAATACGTAAAAATACTATCATGTTTTATTGGTCCAATAATTGTATTCTGGCCAAATTGCCAATAGTAACCCTTCTTGCCTCAGTAGCCTAGCTCCTAATGCACATGGGGTTAGGTCGTGGCTCAGGGCTCCAATCTTGCAGAAAAGCAGAATTTAAATATCAAGGACTTTTGGGCATAGACCAAATGTCTCTGTGGACTTTTGGACAGGGCCAAATATCTGCTAATTGTAACCTAGACCTTTGGATATAGGGCACTCCTATAACCCATGGCTTCAATTGTGATTATACCAACTTGTCTCCCTCTTGCCTGACACCATAAATGCCTTTTCTTTTCCCTAAATAAATCTCTCCACCTTAAAAGCCTGTGCTCACTCCACAAGTGACACTCCCTTAACCACCCAGGCCCTAAGTTTTCCATATCTCCCGTATGAGAGGCTATCTATATGTCTAAAAGCCTAAGCAACCATTGCGACTGGTCAAGCAAACGACCAGTCGCTATAGTGTGCACAGACCACCAGGGGGCAGAAGCTCAACACAGGAACTGTCCTCTGGTGGTCAGTGTGCTCCCACAGCCAACCTCCCACGGTCCCTCCCTCAGCCAGCTGGCCTGATCGGGACTGGGCGAGATGGCCTCGATCACCCTATTGTCCACCAGGCCGAGGGACCCCACCCATGCACAAATTTGTGCACCGGGTCTCTAGTTATAAAATATACAGCTATAAATGTGCCAAAAAAGAGAGAAAAATTTAATCATTTAAATAATACACAAAGATAAATCTTGAGACTTAATTACCAATTCAGTGATAAACAGTAATCATACAATGACAAAGTTTCTTTTCTTTTGACTGTCACACAAAATGCAAAAATCTACAACCAAAGGTTTAGGTATTCATCATTAAATGTGGTCCTACTTGAAATTGTTAACTTTTTGCTGTTTGTAAGTAGTCCTTGTCTCCTAGTTTGTATAGGAGACCTATTTCTTTTTTAACTTTATTTTTGTTGTTGACACGATTACAGATGTCCCCATTTACTACCCCTCTTTGCCCACCTCCACCCAGTCCCTGCCCCCACATCCCTCTGGCCATCACCATATATTTGCTGTGTCTATGGGTTAGGCATATATGTTCTTTGGCTAATCTCTTCACCTTCTTTCATCTAGTCCTCCCCACCACCCTCCTCTTTGACAGCTGTCAGTCTGTTCCATGTATCCATGCCTCTGCTTCTATTTTGTTTGTCAGTTTATTTTGTTTATTAGATTCCACATATGAGATCATATGCTATTTGTCTTTCTTTAACTGGCTTATTTCACTTAGCATAATAATCAGAATGCATTTCTATGGCCAAGCAATGAAGGCCCAACCACACAGCCCAGCTACTTTAGCTGCTGCATCTAGTAACTGTTTTCTAAACAAATATTGGCCTTAGGTACTGATATATTTACCATTCCTTAGTTTTTATAGGTAGAGGACAGATGAATAGCCAGGAAGTAATCACAATACATAATGTGATTTATATTACTGGTTGTATGAGTAGTCTATTAATGTTCTAAGTAGATAAAATTGAATTTTTAAAATTAATTTACTGGGAGAGTTAAAAGAAAAATAAAGCTGTCAGTAACAGGTAAATGCCAGGAATGGTTGTATGATATTCCAAGCTACACACAGATACCTGGATTTCTGGATCTGCTCTCTGCAGGATTCACAACCTTTTCAGGTCCTTCCTGTTTTTTTCAACTCCTCTTTGTCTTCCTTACTTTCAGCACCCTGGGCCTCTTCTTCAGTTGTTTCTTTAGTGAAGAATAAGACAGACTTTGGGATCGGACATTCACAGAAGAAAATCCCAATTCATAATGAATGGGGACACACATAAATTCTCAGGAGAAGTAGGAGGATGGAAGTAACTAGGAAAGACTAGGAAGGCACCTTCCTACTAGTTGCTGCAACACTCCCATGGCCCTCACATCTCTGCGGCTTGATCGGTTTCACAGTGACATTATTTCTCTTTTTCTAGTAAACATGAGCTGTTGATGACTTCTGGTCTTTCAGAGAAAAAGGGATCAGGATAACCAGGGTCTAGGGTATTCTGTATGTTCTAATCAGAACTGTCTTGGGAAAATATTTTTGCCTCAGGGACAAATTGTATGGTGAAGTACATTAGTTCCTCAACCCCCTGAATATTTCATTTTTACAAAGTCCTCGGGATCAGTTCTTAATATTTGGGGATCAACTTTCTAAGAATCTTGACACTTTCAGAAGCCAAGAACCAAACACCAGGTATGCCATTTGCTTGTTTTTTCCTTCAGGCCCCCCGTCTGTGTCCTCCCCGGCTCCCTCCTGAACATCTGCTCCTGGGACAGTCGGACATTGGTCTGTGGGCAGTGAACTGCACGGAACTAAGATTTCTTAGCAGAGGTCGGGAGAGGGCAACGTACTTTCCCCCTCAAGGCGGAGAAGGCCATAATGGAGCTGGGCTTCTCCTCGGCCTGCAGGGTGTTGAGGGCCCCCACCCAGCGGAAAGAGCATGACAGGCCAGTGTGCCAGCTGTGCCACCGCTGCTCATAGGCGGCCCTCCCTCTCCCCCCTCCCCCTGCCAGGGCCCTCCCTGCTCCCGGGGCCTCACCACCCGACCCTATCCGCTCCGCTCCGCCAGATCCTCACCCCGGGGTGCTTCAGCCTCCTGTGTGGGCTCCTCCTGTGCCACCTCTGCCATCTCCCCAGGCGCAGACTCCTCCACCAGGTCCTGGACCTGGCCTTCGGACTCTGGGAGGGCCAGGATCCCCGGTCCAAATCTCTCAGGTCCATCTGCAGACTCATGCACCATGGCTACGACCCTCTCTCTGGAGCCATGGGGAACCATGGCTAAGACTCTTTCTCTGGAGCTATGGGGCACCATGGCTACGACCCGTTCTCTGAAGCCTTCGGGCATCAAAATCACACGGATCTGGGCCATGCGTCCAGACCTCTGATGCCTAGACTGGGCCATCCTGCGGATACCACGGGGACGCAGGAGGATATGGTTGTTGTAGTGTATGCGGTGTAGCAGTGAGTGCAAGAGGTTCAGGAACATGAAGCGAAAGCCCACCATGGGGAACTGGTGGGCATCTACTACCATCTCTGGGCCTGGCTCCAAGTTCTCCTCCTCCTCCTCTGCTGGGCCAATGTCAGAATCCTCCTCACTGGTGCTGCTTTCAGGGTCTCCCACTGCCCCGGCCTCCTCCCCCAGGCTCTCCATGGCCTCTGCGACTTCTGAGGCCACTATGGCGGCAGCATCATCATCCCCGTCCCTCTGGGGCCTGGAGCTGAGGATCAGGGCATCCTGCTCTCCATCTTCCCTGACCCAGGCTCCCACCACACCCACGGGGCTCTCCTGGCCACCTGGGGCCTGGCTTCCATCATCTCTGTCAGACATGCCCTCGGACAGTACCTCTACAGGCAGCGATAGGGCTGTGGCTTCGCTGGCCAAGATGGCGGCCAGGGAGAGGAGGCTGCTGACAGGAGGATCATGGGAAGGGGCGGGGCAGTCTGTCAAGTGGGCAACTGCCTATGATAGGCAGGTGTGGATGGCCGGAAACACCCACCAAGGCTTCCCCAGGCACGGGGGTGGGGCCAGATGATTGGCGATAGGGCTGTGGCGTCACTGGCCAAGATGGCGGCCAGGGAGAGGAAGCTGCTGACAGGAGGATCACGGGAGGGGGCGGCCAGGGAAAGGAGGCCACTGACAGGAGGATCACGGGAAGGGGCGGGGCAGTCTGTCAAGTGGGCAACGGCCTATAATAGGCAGGGGTGGATGGCCGGAAACACCCACCAAGGCTTCCCCACGGCACGTGGGTGGGGCCAGATGATTCAACAAAGGGCCGTGTCTGCTCCTTCATGCTCATTGGCTGGGAAGTGAGGATTGACATGTCATTTGTCCAATGAATGACGAAGGCCCTTCGGTTCTAGGATGGCTCACAATCAGCTTTTTTTTTTTCTTTCTATGAGGCCTTAGGGTCCTGAGCTAACTTTAGGGTAACACAAGTCCTGCCCTTTTAATTTTTTGATTTTCTGGAAAACTAGAGTAGTCCGATATGGAGACACCCTGGGCATGTAAACCAAGAGGAGTTCCCTAATTTCCACGTGGTAATGGCTCATGTGAGTAAGGAGAAGATCATAAAAATATGAGGCTCAGACCTCAGCAGCAGGAAACTCCTTCGAAGAGTAGAGAGAGAAGAATTTGGACCATTTAATGTGGTTAAAATTATTTGAAAAAAATGGACAGAATTGAAATGTATGCACTCAAAACAGTGTTGACAGAAGCTGGAAGGTATAAAGCTGACATTCACGTCAAGCCTCCAAAGAAAGAATAAAAAAAGACATAAATCTTTTAAAGGACTAGTTATCTCCTAAGAGCTAAGCATGACAGACATTAGAAGAGCAGGCTTCCTAGGATGTTTCTGAGGCAACAGTTTAAGACTGTTGATTTTAAGGTTCACTTAAGACCTCAAGTGTAAGTAATTCTGAAAATTATAGAGAAATTAACTATTTTATATTCATTCTGTAAAAAGTTTTATAACAGTAAAATGTTGTTTTGAAAAACAAGTATGTGTATAATTACATATAATCATATGATATTTAGATAAATGTAATATCCGAGTTAGGTATTATATTATAATACCAATAAATTCTACCATGGTGAGGAGGAATTTTTTTCCTTTCATCAACCTAACCAAATTTCAATGTTTTTATTTTTCTTCTGGTCTCACCTCAAAAATGGAGCTTGGCATTGTCATAAATCATTGGTTTAAGTATGGAAGGCGATGTAGAAAATCTGTAATCCAAATCTTCACTACAAAGACAAAAAACTGAGGCAGAAACCCAATCTGAGATCTGGAGTTGGTTTTAACATTCCCCCCCTGATGTGATCTTGGGAAAGTTATCATTTCTAGTCCTCCATTTTTATCATCTATAAAGGTAGCGTAATGATCACCTAGCTTTGAGAATTAAATAAGATAATCTATAAAAGTCCAATTTATACTGTGAAACTCTGTAAACTATTAGGCATTATTATTATATCAATAGTAATTTTTTTGTTCTTGAACTATTGAGAGAAGTTATTCAGGCCTTCAGAGAGAATCATCTAATTTGGTTTTGGAGGGATCAATTTTTTTTGTTGTCCCCCCCCCCCAGCTATATGGAGCTACATACTTCCTCCATGGCTGAGTTCATACCATTTCTTCAGTTAAAATTTAAGTGGGACAGCTAGATGGAATGAGATGGAGTTATATTTAAGATATTAACCATTTGTTGAAATATTTTCCTAGCTTGATTTTTGCTTTCTAATTTGGTAAATATTTCTAAGTACATACTTTTTAAAAAATTCTTTATTGATTATGGTATCACATAATTGTACTCATTTCCCCATTCCTATCCCAAACCCCTCCCCATGTATGCCCACTCCATGTCTTCCATGACCACTGGTTAGGCTTATATGCATGCACACAATTCCTTTGGTTGCTCTCTCCCCTTTGCCCCCACCCTCCCCTACCTTCCCTCTGAGGTTTGACAGTCTGATTGCTGCTTCTCTGTCTCCAGGCCTGTTTCTGTTCATCAATTTATGTTGTTCATTATTTCCCCTAGATGCGTTAGATCATGTGATACAAGGAATTCCCTTATAAGGACTGAAACTGAGACAAGCCATAATGGTTATGCTGAGAGGCAAATGAATCAGTCTGTATTGAGTTCCTTTCTGGGCCAATAGTTCTTTTGAGTCCCAATTTCAATGTCAAACAGTTCCTTATGTGTACATATCAGCCATGGTATTTCAGATCTGGTTGGTTGACAAATGATGTTGATGCGGGTCTGACCACCGTCTCTGGTTTGGTCCTGGGCATCCTTCAGCGACACACAGCTGCTGTGTGCTAGTATGGCAAGGCATTGTCAGCTTCTTCCATCTCTGGACTGATTCTCTTTTGTCTTCATGGCTGGGGTAGTCCTGTCAATTCCTCTCTGTTGTTTTCTGAAAATATACAAACATATTCTCGACCAAAAGTTAATACCATATTTTCCAGCGTATAAGACTAATTTTACAGTTAAAACATAGGGTTAGGCCTATATTCATGGTATAAGACTACCCCCCACTTCAAAGAAAAGACTTACTTTGCCGTCAAGATCTGCAGGTAATTTTTGTGCAATTTTGATCTTTTGCCCCCAATTATCAGTTGACTTTTTTCGTTTCAAAAGTCATCTTATACGCTGAAAAATACGGTACCTCTTTTCAGATATTTTAGAATACCTTAAGAAGGATAGGTGTTAGCTCTTCTTTGAATGTTAGTAAAATTCACCTGTAAAACCTCTAGTCCAGGACTTTTGTTTGCTAGGGTTTTTTTATTTTTTTATTACTACTTTGATTCATTGGTGGCAACTGGTCTATTCCAATTTTCTGATGCTTCCTATTTCAGTTTTGAAAGATTGTATGTTTATAGGAATTTATCTATTTTTCCTAGGTTGTCCAAGTTGTTCATAGTATTTTCTTTAAATTCTTTGTATTTCTGTGTTGTCAGTTGATATTTCTTCTCTTTATTTTCTGATTTTATTTATTTATTTATTTAACCAGACTCATCAAGAAAAAAGTGATAAATAATAAAACTAAAAAAAGTTAATAAAGGAATATATATATATATATATATATATATATATATATATATAAATTTGACTTGGGATCTCTTTTCTTTTTCTTTTTTTCTTTTTCCCTCAAATGATTTTCCCTCTGGCTTGTTTTTACACCATGTATGCTTTTCATGAGTATCTTGCTGTTAGCATTTCAAATGAAAGTTAATTTTCTAAAGTACAAATTTTCTAGATGTAATTTACTCACAGGATATTTTTCCTTACATGATATTTTTCTACTATCACCTTTTTTAATTTAAATATTAGGAGGGTTTTGAAAATTTTATAATCTAGTCTTGATAGCTTTTACATTTTAATAATTTGCTCTAAAATATGACTGCGTTAGGTACATGTTATGCAACTTTACCCTGAGATGAACTGCCAATAAGAATTTTGTTAACACTTTAAGAACAGCTTTTTGTACAGTACAATCAATTTTTCTAGAATATTTGCTTATTTCAATTAGCCAATTTAGTTATCTCTGAGAAATTGACTACTATTCAGCTGTCAAACTCTACAATCTATCAACAATCTTATTTTACTCTGTGTGTATTAGTGGAAAGGATTATTTGCCTACTAATAAAAGATGTATTAGTAGACTCTGAGCATTCCTGGTACTAGGCTGGATTTGGATATCAAAAACCCACTTCCCCAAACCATGGGTATAATACATCTCAAACAAGTCTTGTTGCAGTGAGAGGGCAGCTACTGTCAGTCAAGCCTCTGTCTGTTACCTGGGTCCCAATTTGAGCTGTGCATGGGAAGCGAATCAGCCATGGGGGCAGGAGACATCCTTCAGAAATGGTGAAGGTTCAGGCCCCTGCAAAGTTGCAGGGATGGTAAGGATCTGTGCCCCACCTCTGTTCACCCCCAAGTTCTCTCCTGCTGGCCCCTCTGCGACTGTGCCTGTCTTAGGTTGTTCCTTCCCTGAGGAATATTTCCTGTCTCTGGTTAACCACCCATCCTCTGGGGCCAAGCAGGGTGATGTGAGGTTCAGTTCTGTCTCCTTGGTAACCTATGCCCCCATGGCCTCCACCCCCAGTGTCTGCCTTGGGATCCCCTTGCCTGCTGGCGAGGCCCAGGCACTGATCTCATATTTTGGGAAACCCAGGTTTCTTCTACAGAGAGGGCCCAGCTCACCGCACTGGATGAGAGACAAATCCATGGTACCAGCCACCGTGATGCTTCAACCTGGGCATGAACTGAAAGCTCAGGCAACAGCTGTGGCCAACTGGACCGTGAGAAGAGGGTCACTCGTGGCCAAAAGGGCAAGAGGGGCCAATCATACTTTTATTATTATGTCACAAAATCAAGTAATATTTTCATGGTTGTAACATAATTGTAAATTTTCAGATATTTTCTTATACAGAGAAAAAATATTTCTTCTTTTTGGAAAAAAATATAAATGTTTACATTTAACTCCTTAACTTGTTTAGAACTAATACTGACATAAGCTATAATATTTTTGTTTTTAAAAGCTCACCTATAGCACCATTTTTGAGCAATTATTCCCCTCTATAATGATGTGTGGTCCTATACCCTTTAAAGGCAGAAGAGATACAAGAAAAAATATTCTCCCAAAAATTTAGAGCTGGCAAGGTCTTTAGATATTGAATGTAAGCCCATTTAAAAAAAAATGCAGAAATAAAGGCCCAGGGCAGATAACTGGATGCCTCCCTCCTAAGGTCATGCCACTTAATAGAGCAGCCAGAACTAGAACTAATCTTCTGATCTTTTATCTGGAGACAGGAATACTTCTTGTAC